AGCGTATAATTTCTGGTAGTGGGGACCTGCGTTCGCGCTCGTCCCCTTCAACATATAATATTCATGTATAAATGTATATAAAGCTGTGTGTGTTCTTTCTTAACACTGCCGTGTGTGTCGATTGTTTTTGTATAGAATCCGATGTCAAACATATCATTTATCACAGAAGACACTCTTTACATATTCTCCGTGCCGAAATCTCTCCATCTCGTGTTCATATTACATGGTAAGTAAAGCTATACACGTTTATATTTTGTAAGCACTTCGACTCTTTGCACACACTATTCAATTAATTCGCTGCTGTATAAAGTCACTTGCTTGCCAACGGAATTTCACGCCATCGCACGTACATTCCAAGTGCCCATTAACTGGCTCGCGTGTCACTCTCAAACGCACGTGTTTTGCCGGTCAAACTTATAGAATACGAGTAAATATTCCAAAATCGCATTATTTCACGGCGCGTGACCCGAAACCTTTCCGGGTCACAACGCAGTTTGCGAGTGAAAGAAGCTCGACGCATTCGTGAATCTTTGAAGAGCGCGAAAGCTGATACGCTCGCAACTCTCGTCTCACGCTCGATGCCACATGGCCGCCGTGCCCCTCTACACGACCGCACGTGTGTGCGCGAGAGAACCGCGACAGTTGCGGTGGGCGATCACCACAGACTTGCCGTGCTCGTGCGACGAGTAACCAGGCGCCTGTCAACGTCATAATCGCTCGCAAGTGAGCTCCTTCTCACCGCGTTTTCGTAGCACAAGTGTTCGGTAGAAATATGTGTGCCGAACGGCGAAGAAGGCATCGCTTCTCGGCCTATTGGCTAAGTGAGAAGAATCCTGTTTCTTGTGGTAATAAGAATTGTTGGATTGCTGCCCGAAAGTTTTGGTGAAGACGTTTTGCTGTCCTGCTGTTATCTTGCTGTTATCCTGTTGTCTCGTTGGTGCCTTGCTGTTGTCTTGTTGTCCTGGTCTTGGTGTCCAGTCCTCTGGCCCTGGGGCCTTGGTGCCTTTGCTGCGTCCTTGGCGTCTTGGCTACCCTGGTCGTGTCGTCTGTCGCATTTCCTGTTGGTCATATTGGTTTCTGTGCGTGAGTTTTTGGTGTGTACCACAAGTCTGGTGGTGAATTTGTTTGTGTATAGTTTTTACATATATTTGTGTCGGTTGCTCCTGTTGCTGTGGTCCCTGTCGCAGCAGTCTTGTGTCAGATGCTCCTGCTCCAGCGGTTCCTGTTGCTTCTTTGTCTGCAACATTAGCAAATGTTGGTGTTCCCCCTCAGATGCTGGGCGGGATGTTAATTTGGTCGCCGCGGTTGTTGGTGATCTCGTATTATCTGTGGTTGATACAGTGGGTGATAATACCGTTGAAGAGCTATCTGTGTCGCCTAGAGTCTCATCATTGGTGATGGCGGATGCTGTATTGCCTCCTGGACCAGACTCCTCCAATCATGGTGACATTTCGGAAGATCTTTCATTTGTGTCTCCCACTTCATCCCTGCTCCAGGTCTCGGATGGTGATGCAGATGTTCCTAAAGATAATTTTTTTGCTACGTACCCTGGCCATGATATATTTGATGACCCACTCACCCAATACCCGCCGAATCTTCCTTGTGCTACGCCCGAGAGGATTCAATTTTATTCAGAACCAGTGGCCTCACATGTCTCTGAGGAATCTTTTGTTGTCGCGCAATTTTTTGCCGAATCTCAAATTTCTTCCTGTGTGGAAGAATGATCTTAAGTGGATTTTTTATCCTATAATTCTCTCGTTACACAATATTTATTGTTTTTATTATTATTAACAATGGCGCCTAACTCAGTTTCCTTTTTAACATTGAACATTCAGGGTCTTCGGGCCACTCAAAATCGTTCCACTTTATTTTCATGGTTAAATTGTGTCAAAGCGGACATTGTTTGTCTTCAGGAGACTCATTCCACATCTGCCGTTGAGTTTGAATCCTGGGTCCAAACTGAGTCTCACAATGGTAATAATTTGCAACGTTATTCTGTGGTATCATCTCCTGGTTCTGCCCGCAGTTCGGGTGTTGCTATATTGTACAAGCCATCATTCCTTTTGGATCAGCTTCATAGGGATGATGTTGGACGTCTGGTAATTGCCCATTTTTCATCTGTTGCCTGTGATTCTTCTCCATTCCAAGTGGTCAATGTGTATGGTCCTAACCAGAAACAGCTTGGCGAGGATTTCTTTGCATCTATCTTCCCACAAATTGATCCTATTCTCTATACCATCTTTTTAATACGGTTGCGGATTCACAGTTGGATGGGATGGGATGTAATTCGTCCTCCTACTGGGCATACAACTGGCCACAGACTTTGTCTCATCTTACTTCTACTTTAAATTTGGTGGATGCCTGGCGTGAGTGTCATCCAAATGTTCGTGATTTTACGTGGCGTCGCCCTAATGGTTCTCAAGCCTCTCGTCTGGACATGTTTTGGATTTCATCCTCCTTACTTGAACATATTCAGCAAGTGGATATTTTACCTTTTTTTCGTTCGGACCATTCGTATGTTTTTCTTTGTGTTTCCTTGCCAACTATGCCCGATCGGGGACCTGGGGTTTGGAAACTGAACACTTCCATTTTGGCGGATGAGATCTTTACCACTCGTGTTCGCGGCTTTTGGCGTTCGTGGCAGGATCAGAAGCATTTGTTTCATTCTCTTGATTTGTGGTGGGATGCTGGTAAAGCCTGTTTAAAGTCGTTGATGAAGCGATATTCGCGAGAAAAAACTCGGTCACGTCGTGCTCGCATTTCCTCCTTGGAGAATACTTTGTATCACCTTAGTCGCCGCGAACAGAATGCTGATGATGTGGCTCGTTTCATTAAGGAAACCAAAGATCTTCTTGAGCTTGAACATCAGCATCGTGCAGATGGGGCTAAGCTTCGTGCTAAGGAACAATGGGCAGAAGAGGGTGAATCGTCATCGTCTTATTTTTTCCGTCTTGAAAAGTCTCGAGCCATCCGTAAGTTATTCACTGGAATTCGGAATGCGCAAGGAGTTGTTGTCCGTTCTGTTTCAGCTATTATTCGTGTCTGGTGTCTTTTTTATGTCCAATTGTTCACCGCCTGTATTCTTTCTCCAGTGGATCAGGATTTTTTTATTAACTCTTTGGACTTGGCCTTATCCGATCGCGAGTCTGCCTTATGTGAAGGTGATATTACTCCTGCTGAATGTCTTGCGGCCCTTAACAGTTTTCGTAATAACAAGTCGCCTGGCATCGATGGTTTGCCTTATGAATTTTATAAGTGTTTTTGGGATGTTCTTGGTTCTGATCTTGTTACTGTATTGAATGACTGTCTTGTGCAAGGCTCATTGTCATTTACACAGCGTACTGGACTCATTTCCTTGCTTTATAAGAAGAATGATAAGCTGGACACTAAGAATTGGCGCCCTATTTCTTTGTTGTGCACTGATTACAAGATCTTGGCCAAAGTTTTGACCAATCGTCTGAAATCCGTCATCTCTTCGGTCGTCTCATCTTCCCAAACCTGTGGTGTTCCTGGTCGTTTTTCTGGTGAAAGTGTTCGTCTCCTCCAGGATATTATCAATCATTCAAATGGCAATGACATTGGTGGTGCTCTGATTTCGCTTGATCAGGAAAAGGCTTTTGATCACGTGGAATGGTCGTTTCTGCAACGTGTTTTAGTGAAAATGAACTTTGGTCCTTCGTTTCGGTCTTGGGTGCAGTTGCTGTATTCTGGCATTTTTTCACGTGTCCTTGTCAATGGTTTCACCAGCGAAGCATTTCATGTGTCGCGGGGTGTTCGTCAAGGCTGTCCATTATCACCTCTGCTTTACATTTTAGTTGCCGAAACTATTTCTAGTGCTATTAAAAAGGATCCTCACAATGATGGTTTTGTTTTGCCTGATGGTCAATGCGTTAAGCTTTTCCAATATGCCGATGACACAAGTATTTTGGTGCGTTCCGATCAAGCCCTCCTCTCTGTGTTCTCCCTCTTCGCGCGGTATGAGAAAGCTTCTGGTGCGAAACTTAACATGGGCAAGAGTCATGGCTTGTTATTTGGTTCCTGGCATACTCGTCTGCACTTGCCTGTTCCATTGAATTGGAGTAATGTCGCTATCACTGTTCTTGGCTGTCGCCTGGGTAATGATGATGCGGTTGACTGGAATTCGTTGATCGAACGTTTTGAGGGTAAACTTTGTTTATGGAAGCAACGTCAGCTGACCTTTTGTGGCCGTGCCTTGATTGCCAATATGCTTGGGTTGTCCATTTTCTGGTATCAAGCTACCATCTTTGACATGCCGAAAACCGTAATATTTCGTATCAATAAACTCTTGTTCCCCTTTATATGGGGTAAGAAACGTGAATGGATGGCTTGATCTTCCGTCTCACAACCATTAGCGCAAGGTGGCTTGGTGTTGTCGACGTTTCATCAAAATTAGCATCTCTTCGGGCTGTTTGGCTACGGCGGTTTTTTTCCCAATGTCCACATCCTTGGACCGTGCTCTTTAATTTTTATGTATCTATGCATTTTGGTCAGCCTGTCGGTGATGCTCTGGCGTGTGATCATCTCCCTGCATACCGGGTCAAGAAACGTCCGTCTTTTTACGCTGGCCTTCTGCGAGCTTGGTTGGCTCTTCGTGGTACACAAGATGCTGGTGTATGGGTGATCCCTCATCCATCTGGTGATCCTCTTCCCATTAGCAAATTATCTGCCAGTATTAGTTATCAGTTCCTATTGCGGTCGTATCATATTGATCATCGCTCCTTGACTAAGTTTCGTGATCTCGGTATCGCTGTCGAATGGCCTGATGTCTGGGCTAGTCTTCGTCTGTGGCGTTTTATCCGTGCTGTACAGGATACAGGTACAGGTTCTTCGCACCTGCTGAGTGAGGATCTATGCTTGGAACACGGTCCATAACTTGCTCACAGGTTATTTACTAGCTGCAGTTCTTTGTGCAGACATGCCCCCTTCTTTGTTCTGTCTTCCGGTTGACTGGCCAGCCTAACTTGTTGGGCGTTTAGGTAGCAACTAGCCCAGTTCTTTTTCTCTTTTGACTGCTTGCCTCGTTCTTCGGATCGTGGTCAAGTAGTTTTCCTGGCTGTGGGACTGGGTGGTTAGCACCCAGCACAGTTTAAGGCCACCAGTACCAGTTTTTTGTATATATAATTAGGTAGTGGTGACTAGTGTGTTTTCTGGTTGTTTTCCTGTCGAGTGGTCTGACTGGGGGACCATTCAAAGGAAGGTTGCCTTTTGCTGTTCTTTGTCGTTGCTTCTGTTGCAGACTTGAGGTCTTGGACCAATATAGTCTGTTCCCTGGCACTCGTTCTTTGGCAAAGGACACGTTTTTGTAAATATTTAGTGTGCATGCGCAGTTGTTTTTTGTAGTTTTTGGCAAGGTTTTTGCTCTTTATTAGGGAGAGCTCTTTGCATTCTACCTGTTTGCTTGTCTGTTTGTTTTAA